TGATGCTTGTTAGTTTGTTGAACTTATTAGCTCTAACTCTACTTTACTAATCTTAGTTGTTCACATTGTTTACTAATCTTGGTTGTTTGCTTGTGTCTATTTGTTTCAGGTCACGGGATGCTTTGTTCAAGTAAAGACACAAGTTGTTGGTCACGGGATGCTTTGTTCAAGTACAAGACACAAGTTGTTTGTCACGGGATGCTTTGTTTTTTCTGCTTTATTAGCTACTCTTGCCTTTATAAGTTATTGTAGTCTCGGCTTAAAGAGCAATTTCCTCTGCTCTTGTTGTACTAGAATCTTTTATCTGCTTCACTTTGCTTCTGTTGTACTCAAACCCTGGATCTATAATATATTTTAGTTGTTTACGTAAGGTATGCTTCTTTGTACTTTGTTATTGTTGAACATGCTTGCTAGAGGTTTTGATCCTTTGTATTGTTCTCTCTATTTTTCATTCGTTGATTTGCTATAGTATTGTATTGTTCATTAATGTATTGTTCACTTTGCTATTGTATTCTATTGGAGAGCCAATATATTAATGAATTTTTTCTAGCAAATATGAGAGCGATTTAATGATGCCTACTAATAATATACACATTGGTGGAAAATAATAAACGAGTGAAAGACATTAACTTGATTAAGTTAAAAGTTGTAATAATCCGAAAATACAATACATGCATCTCTATTCGTTTAAAAAGTTAAAAAGTTGCCAAAAGAAACATTAACTTGAAAAAAAAATTCCAAAAATAAATAAAAATATGTATTTATGATATAAATTTAATGTTAAAATCTATTAAATAATTTTCTTCGTTTGATTTGAAGGATATACCAATATGGCAGATGAAGTCGATCGAAGATTAGATGCAGTTGTGGATGAGGCTGTCGATGAATATATTGAAGATTTATACAACAACATCAGGGAAAATCGGACAGCTAGACCGAGGAGACGTGCATATCACGAACGAAATCGCGAAGAGGGCCACAACCGTATATGGAATGACTACTTTAGTGATGATCCGACGTATCCAACACATTTATTTCGTCGCCGTTTCCGCATGAACAAGGGAGTATTCATGCGAATTGTGGATCACCTATCTGAAAATATTCGATTCTTTCAGCAGAGAAGAGATGCTCTTGGAAGGTTAGGTCTATCTCCAATACAAAAATGCACGGCAGCTATATGCTTGCTTATGGTTGCGCAGCTGACGCCGTCGACGAATATCTTCGACTTGGTGAAAGCACTGCACTTTCGTGTTTAAGCCACTTCACAGAAGCCGTGATACAGTTATTTGGAGATGAATATCTACGAAGGCTAGCTGTAGATATTGGAGAGATACGCAGTTTTCCTAGGATGGTAGGAAGCATCGACTGTATGCATTGGGAGTGGAAAAATTGTCTAACAGCTTGGAAAGGACAGTAAACGCGCGGATCAGGAAAGCCGACAATAGTCTTGGAGGCTGTAACTTCACAAGACCTTTGGATCTGGCACGCCTTTTTTGGTCCTCCAGGTACGTTAAACGATATTAACATCCTCGATCGATCTCATGTTTTTGATGACATCTTACAAGGTCGAGTACCAAGGGTACAATACGTGGTTAACGAACACCAGTATGATTTGGCGTACTACCTCACGGACGGCATATATCCCCCTCCCTCAAAGTCCTAAAGATCAATTATTTGCAAAAGTTCAAGAAGCAACCTGAAAAGATGTGGAACGTGCTTTTCGAATATTGCAAGCTCGATTTGCGACAGTGAAAAACCCGACAGTTTTGTGGGACAAGACACAAATAGGTATGGTTATGCGAACATGTATCATACTGCATAATATGATAGTAGAAAATGAACGCGATGGATACACTCAGTATGATACATCCGAATTTGAAGAAGGAGACTCGAGTAGAAGTTCACAGGTGGATATGTCATATTCTACCGACATGCCTTCAAATATCGGTAACATGCTTGGCGTACGGACTCCTGTTCGTGATCGGCGCGTATACATGAACAACTGAAACAAGATTTGATCGAAAATATTTGGAACAAGTTTGGTAATGATGATGATGTTTAGTTATTGTATGTTTACAATTACTCTTTCAATAAATAAATTTTTAATGTTTAATTGTTTTAAAAATAATTAAATATTAAAAAATATATTTTATTCTTAAGGACTCCATAACGGATAACACCATTGGAGGGCTATTTCTAATTATAATTCTTAACTATTCCAAAAAAAAAATACACTTTTTATCCCTAAGGAGTTGCTCTAAGTATGTCATCAACCCCAGCCGTACGATATATCTAGTGTTGCAATTAAACGTATTCAACAATGCTGAATATTATCCATGATGACTAAAATATACATTATAAAAATGAAAAATGTTTTAATTTATCTGGAAACCACGAAGAGGACTATGAAAGCGAACATTTTAAAGAGTGATTTACCTCTAGGGTCACATTTTAAGTTTTTATCTCATTATAAGGCACTTTGTGCTCTTAGAACACTTTCTTTAACTTATTACCTTCTTTTCTAGCCAAAAGGTAACTAGTAATATAAATCAGTAGGACCTACCTTTTCATCTTCTTATTTTCTTTAACATTATCGTAAGCCAACTACCACCTCTTCTTCCTTATCCTCATCAACCTCCATTTCTCAAAGCTTCACTCAATTGCCTTGATCAAACTCCATCCACCGTTATTCCTTCTCCTCGCCGTTTCATCTCTTCCCGTCATCACGATTCTCCAAAAAAAATACACTTTTTTCTCAAATCTCAGTTTTTTTATAGAAGACTAAGTTTGCAATATTTGTATTTTACTCAAATCCAGCTTAATACACAAAATCTGCAGTTTTCATTTCTTAAAAGTTTATCAACACCAATATTTTTTTCCTGAAAACCTTAAATTTGACTATAGCTAACCTTAAATTAAATAGAAATCAATAGTTAAGAATAATTCTCAACTATTAATCATAACCAATCAAGATTACGACCAAGTTATATACAACATGGTTTCATTTATCTCTGAGAATTCTAGTGAAGAATCCCCAAATATCCTGCAAAACTCATAACCTTAGAAAAGCTATGAAGAAGACAAACTAATTATGAAAATACCATCAATGAAATAAATGAAAAAAAAAAATTACCTCACTTACTTGCAATCGATACTTTACATAAATATTTTTCCCATACATTAAACCATCAATTATATTTTTTAAACTAATCCTCAATTAGTCATAAGTTTTAATTTTTTTCTTAATTAGTTTGCCATAGTCAACGTCTTATTGACACTGATTGTATTCCCAAACATAAAATTTTCCTAATCAGATATACATATGAATGTTTGTGAATCGGTGTACATGTAGCATTTTGTACATATGGTTAGTAAAATTTGTGTACAATTGGTTTACTCTATCAAAAAATATTGGTTGTACAAAATTTTGAAACTTGAAAAGTTGTTGTGTTTTCATGGGTATGAAGCTTTTTTGTGTATGTTGTTGTAATGATATATATATATATATATATATATATATATATATATATATATATTTTTTATGTACATAACACTGTACACAAACTTTTATATATTCTATTTGACATTATTCACCAATAGCATTCAAATGTTATACATGTACGATTATTCTTAATAATTTATATGAATATATCACGATGTACACAAAAAGTTAACTATCCAAATTTGTACAACTGCTATGATGTACACTTCAATATTTGCACGGTAAAAAACCTAAAATGTACACATATTATCAAAAGTTCAGAAACTAAACGGGAATAACCGGAGTAATTATAAAACATGTTAGTAGTATATATTTGATTTTAGTAGCAACTAGTAATATAAATGCATCACAGTGGTTAGAGCCACGGAGAAATGGTGGCTTGACCAAAGTTCCAAAACCCATGCTTAGACTTTTTATTTTATTTTTCAGGTTTAATTCAATAAATGAAATCACATGGCTATCCTTGTCCTTTTCAACAATTCTCTGCAACAATTCTCTCCTCGATTAAATCGGAAAGAAATCGGTCCACCACTTGGCCACTCCGATTTGTTCCTCCTCGTCACGGTATACCCACGCCTAACAGTTATCTGGATCATAGAAGGAGTATCTCACCGTTAGTTACAGAGGAAGAAGACCTATGATGAAGATGAAGGTTGCTACCAGCGGTCCAAGCCAACACAATAATAAGAAAGCTCCAATCTTCTTCATTGTCGTGTCTTGCTGCCACTTTATTGATGACGATGTCCGACGTCCGACTCCGGCGAATCACGACAACAAGATCTGACATGGGTCAGGAGAAACGGCGGAAGACACAGCCTGTGGAGAATGAAGAATACTGTAGTGGATAGAGCTTGCTGTGATTGAAGATTCCGGTAGAGAGCTCGTCGATGTGGAACAGTTCGATGTTCATGGTGGTAACGTGAATCATGCACAGGGAAAATTTTAGTTCAAGTTTTTATAAAGAAATTAAAGAAGAAGAGAAGATAAGATTATGGGGGCCACCAATTGTAGTTTAGTTTTTATTTAGTTAGAAAACCTAACGAAAATTAAGCAACTAGTTGGAAAAAAGTGTTTGAGTATAAGAAAGTGTCTCATAGTGTTATTAATAAGTACAAAAGTGACTCTCTAAGTAATTTTCTCCATAAAATAACTTCGTAATAGGAAAAGGATCTAATACGCTACCGTTTTGGGGTATGTCTCTATCGCTGTTTAATCCACTTCGCTTCCCGATTCGATGTTCTTCCGCGCTAATTAAACACCCAACACACAAATCAGATACATATATTTATAATGAATGGTTAAATCAATAAAATCCGGACGCGAAACCAATTAATCAAATCCACTTTCTCTCTCCCTCTCGCGTCCGATCTCCTTCTCTCTCTCTCCACTCCCATCACAACACAAACAACACATCTCTCTCTCTCTCCCCTCACAAGTCAACTCTCTCTCTCTCTCTCTCTCTCGCCCTTTCTCCGTCGCAAATCCGCCTCCGATGACCATGACGACAGAGGAGAAACCAACCTCCGATGGAAAAGGTTGGGGAATCTTCAAGATCCCGTTTCGAAACTCTCACGGAAACGCCTCTAATGCTGCCACGTCACCGTTTCCGTCAGGAGCTTCTTCCTCATCTTCTCATCATCTCCATAACCACCACCACCATCATGGCTACAACGGACCTCACGGTGATGGATCGGGTCAAAATCAGCACCCGACTCCTTCTCCTTCGGTATCATCAGTAGCTAAGTCGCTGCTTCCTGTGAAACGCAGATTGAAGCTTGATCCGTCCGAGAAACTCTATTTCCCTTGTGAGTTTGTTCGAAATCTCTCAACTGAAATTATTGAATCGTTAGGGTTGTTTTTGTAACTGACTAAAACTTCCAACATTGGACAAGACTAGACGTTGAATTAAGCTAATCTTAGAGGTATCTGACTGATACGGCGCGTTTTGGAATCAAAAGTTTTGATTTTTAGTTGGTTTTCGTAACAATGTAAAGATGACATTTTTGAGCATTTCATTTCCAAGTTAGTTAGAAAGATTTTGTTATTGATTCTTTGCTTAATTTGTTTTTTAGACACCCTCCAGTTAACTGAAGAGTACTGAATGAGATTGTTGTTTACTTTGTGTTGTTTGAAGATGAGCCTGGGAAGCAAGTGAGGAGCGCTATTAAGATTAAAAATACTAGCAAATCACATGTAGCGTTTAAGGTTTGTTTTTCTTTATCTAACCCTTTTTCTTCTTCTTATTATCAGAGTGTTTGCCTTCCTTTTTGTATTTATGCTTGCTTACTCTCGTTGCTTTTCTTTCAGTTTCAAACAACTGCTCCAAAGAGTTGCTTCATGCGTCCACCAGGTGCTATCCTTGCTCCTGGAGAGACTATTATCGCCACTGGTAATTCCTTCTTCTTCTTTTTATCCTCTATTATCTTGTGGATTCTTCATGTGACTCTCTCCCTTGTTCACATGTACAGTGTTTAAATTTGTTGAGCCTCCTGAGAATAATGAGAAGCCAATGGATCAAAGGAGTAGGGTTAAGTTTAAAATCATGAGCCTCAAGGTTAAAGGTCCAATGGACTATGTTCCTGAGCTGGTATGTTCATCTTATGACCTCTTCTTTGAACTGGAAAACGGTACTAACAACTTGTCACTATCCAAATGATATTTCTAAAACATAACTAGAGTATAGATTTCAAGTTACTTTTTAGGCACACATATAGCAAGCATGTGTGTTATTGTTTGTCATCGTCTTACATTTCCACGCTCCACTTAATATTCTTTCCATTTTAAAGAAATATCGATTGTTTTTCTGCAGTTTGATGAGCAAAAGGATGATGTGTCTAAGGAGCAAATATTGCGTGTTATCTTCCTAGATCCAGAACGTCCCAACCCTGTGAGTAACTGAATCAGTATGTTTATGTTAATGTTTCTGTAACAGACCCAACTTTTTCTACGACTCTTTCTAATTATCTATGTGATGAATGAATAAGGCACTGGAGAAACTGAAGCGTCAGCTAGCTGAAGCAGATGCTGCAGTGGAGGAAAGAAAGAAACCACCAGAGGAAACAGGTCCAAAGATGATTGGAGAAGGACTTGTGATTGATGAATGGGTGAGTCACATTTGCTAACATCTTAAGAATCTCTCTCTATTATCTATCTATTCCCATTGGATGATTTTGAAAATCTGACATTGTTGTGGTCTCTCCTCTCTAACAAACCACAGAAGGAGCGGCGAGAGAGATATCTTGCACAGCAACAAGGCGAAGGAGTTGACTCTGTCTAAGAACAGAAAAAAAAAGGATCCTTCTCAAGAAAAAAAAACAAATGTGTGCTCGTGAAGAAAGAAGAAGAAGAGACCACGATACTGAATTTTCTCTACTAACTTCAATATTCATAATGCAATCTAAGGATCATGTTGGTATAAAGGAAAAAAAATACAAAGAATGAAACTTTTTCTTGTAAAAAAATGTAAAACCTGGGGTTTGGTAATGAATTCGAATTGTTCATGTTAAGACTAATAAGAAAAAAGTGAGAGAGGATACTGAATCAACGGATTGGTTTAAGCTTTAACCAAATCTCTTTTACTTTAACTAGGAAACCACCCCGCGCATAAACGCGCGGGAGAAAATATGTTTTTTTTTAAAGTAATTTTTATATAATTTATATTTGTTAGTCAATCATTTTGAATCATTTAATAAACTAATTATTTTGTACGAAAATCAATACTTAAAAATAATCTTATATAATAGAAGAGTGAAATAATATGTGTTTGAAAATGTATAAATTTAAATGTTATGTGTTTAGCATAACAATATTAAGTAAACTTTAATATTAAAGTCGCAGTCATTTTCTTTTATCTTTTTATATATGAGAAGACAAACTTTTAAATTTGTTGAAATGATGGAACAGTTTAAACCTTTTAATTAAATAATATAATATGTTTTAATACACTGTAATTAACATGCAAAGAACGACATTTTTAAATCTATGACGCTCAGTACCTCCGTACAAACTGGGTTAGAAAAACAAAAAAAAAATGGACTTTATCAGAAGAAGAATAAGAGATTACAAAAAAAAATAGGTTGTTTTCTTACAGCCAGATTGGTTTGGATATGGTAGTTTAATTTCGCTGAAACTAAACCTATTAAATTATTTTTGCAGACACCACATTAAATTTTTAAAGATCGTTTAAAACTATATAATGAATCAAACATTATAAAGTTCTCATGATTCTTAGTATGGATATAATCTTTTTTTTTGTGTTAAATCTTCTTAAAAAATTGCATCTGTAAAACATTCTATTTATAGTAATCTGAAAAGGTACATTGATAGATTATCAAGAGTTGTGTTTTGTTTTAAAATGAATATTTTCAAGAGTTGCGAGGAAAAAAAAGTTCAACCAAATACATTTTTAGGACCATTAGATAGAACCATAATAATTACAACCACGAGACTGAAACTCTTCAAAAAAAAATTAAAAAATCAAGAATTAGGGAAAAGTATGACTCTTCAAATTAAAGAGGTGTGTTGTTTGAATAAAAATAACTGCTCATAGCAATTTTAATTTAAGTATAAAAAATATTAAGACCAATAGAAGAAAAAAAAACAATTATAACCAAAGATTGTAATCCTTCAAATATGAAAAAAGTATGACTCTTTCATGTAAAAAGATGTGTTGTTTGAAAAAAAAAAAATGTTAATGCCATAAATATCGTATGTCTAAAAAACATTTCTTAGGACAATTGCATGAAAAACAAAACAATGGTTGAAAAATTGTATCTTTTCATAATAAACTGAAATATATTAGTTTAAAAGTTGCATCTTTCATTATAAAAATAATTGTGTATTTTTTATAAAAAAAATTGTTGAAAGGTTGTATCTTTTCATAAAAAAAACTTAAATATATTAGTTTAAACATTGCATCTTTTCATTATAAAAATAATTGTGTATTTAAAAAAAACTATTATTTTTAAAGTTGCAAAAAAATTTTATTTGGACCATTAGATGAAAAACAAAACAATTATTGAAAGGTTGTATCTTTTCATAAGAACTGAAACATATTAGTTTCAAAGTTGCATCTTTTCATTATAAAAACTATTGTGTCTCACAAAAAATAATTTAAAATAGTTATAAGAGTTGTGTCTTCTCATAATAAAAATNTATAACAATCTTGATTAATTTTAAAGGCTGTGAATGCCGAATAAAAAGAAAATTGAGACTCTTAATAAAAATGTCTATTAGTGTGAAAGGTTGAAAATACAAAATAAAATGAAAAGTTGTGTCTATTTAAAGAACTGAAATATATTAGTTTTAAAGGTTGTGTATCTTTTCATAAGAACTGAAATATATTAGTTTAAAATTTGATTTTATTATAAATAGAATTGTGTCTTTTTATAAAATAATTTCTACTATTTTAAAAATTCTATCTTTTCATTATAAAAAAAGTTTGTGCCTCATAAAAAATATTATAAAAATATTTAAAAGAGGTTGTAAGAATTGTGTCTTCTCATAATAACAATTTTTGAAAGGTTATATCTCTTCATTAAAAATGAAATATATTAGTTTAAAAGTTGCATCTTTTCATTATAAAAACAATTGTGTCTTAGAAAAAAATAATTTAAAAATATTTAAAATAGTTATAAGAGTTGTGTCTTCTCATAATAAAAATCTACTAATTATAACAATCTTGATTAATTTAAAAGTCTGTGAATGCCAAATAAAAAAAATTGAGACTCTTAATAAAAATTTCTATTAGTGTGAAAGGTTGAAAATACAAAATAAAATGAAAAGTTGTGTCTCTTTAAAGAAATAACTGAAAGATTGTGTCTCTTAGTAAATAAAATTATAGGTTGTCTCTTAATAAAAATCACAACTAATTCTAAAGGTTGTGAATGTCAAATAAAATAAAAATTGTGTACCTTGATAAAAAATCCCAATTAATTCTAAAAGTTGTGAATGTCAAACAAGATGAAAGTGAATGTCAATCAAGATGAAAGCTTGTGACTCTTAATAAAAATATCAATTAATGTGAAATGTTGTAAATGT